TACTTTCCATGTTCTCAAGTAATAAAAGAAAATTGGCTAAAGGAAAGTCATACTAACGAAACCAAATGGACCAACACTGATCAGGCGTTCAGGATCAGAGTTTTGAAATATAAAGACCAATGGATGGCTTTCAAACCATCATGCGCAATTAATAGATTGGCATTAGATCCAATCTATTGGTCATGGACGGTCCTCCTGGGGAAACGCGGGAAGTGCAATCTTAATATCTCCACTCACTGACGGTCAGATCAACCTACCGGATGTTAAGGCCTGGATTGGACTTGAGGGATCGAGTAGAAACTAGGCGGATGAAACACCTAAATGTAAGCAAGGAAGATCTTAGATATGTCAAGTGGTTCGAAACTATCAAGATTAAACCGACAAAAATTGCATCTTTACAATGACAAATTGACCATCGATGCCTTCCCACGAATAATTGGCTAATAGACAGGACTTCGCTGGAAGTTAAGGGCATTGCTCTACCTCGGTGACACTACGCTCCTCTGTGTTCCCATCTAGGACCATTCCGAAAACCATAGAGCACATCTTCCTTCAATGTCCAGGTGCAATTTGGTTACAGCGATGGTGGGATAGGGTATGGAGGTCCTTTACTACCCCTTGGACTTGACCGTGGGACTGGCGGGCTGTGACGAACCACTTTCTGTAGTGCGCGACTTTCTGCGCGAGTGCAACGAGGGGTCCTAAGCTGGGAAGGTTGGGCCAATTACGGGAGATTGGGATGGATGGGAAATTGCATCGGTACCCTCGCTTTTTCATCTTTTGCGTCGATTCTTTTCGGATGGCTCAATTTGAAGCTGGGTGTGTCCAGGGACGGGCGATTGATTGGTCGGATGGATGGTTGGCGCGCCGCCAAGCGCGCGAATAATAAATGTTGACGTCGATTCTTTTGTTTCGGTTTCGAAACTTTTTAGGCGTGGACATCGCGCGGGAATTTTGCTTCATTCTTTTTGAAATTTCCTTTTCGAATTCTTTTTCGAATTCTTTTTCGAATTTTGTCGAGCCCCGATGGCTCTCGGAATTTCGGACTTTCTTTCTGAAACTTGTGCTTTTTGCTTTTTCGCATTAGATAGGAATTTAGGAATTTTGTAATTAGAACTTTCTTTTGCCACGTGGCGCCTTTTGCTTACGCGCTTCTTTATGCGGCTGCAACATAATTCTGATTAGTCGGCGCCTTTAATCGGGTGTGTAACTATAATTTTGGGCTGGCGCCATTGTAATTGTATCTTTCTTCTTGTGCTTGTCTTTCCCGCGCCTCTTCTCTTTCTTTTGCTGCGTTTTTGATAGCCACGGTCTGCATGATCGGATCGATGCGTGGAGAGCGGCTACATCCCCCACGCCGCGTTCTGGCCATGCAGAGGCTCATCAAGCGCCACGTGGCAACTTCCGACGTCCTGACTCGTCGGAACCCCACCCACCCCGGAGGGACCTTCCCGCAAACCGCCGTCCTCGGAACCAATGGCTCGCCCGGCCTTGAGTGACCCGCGCATGCCATCTGTCTTATGACCAGAGACGGTCCGCCCTCTCCGCCCAATTGCACTCGTGCCCCCGAAAAACTCTGCCACAAGAGATACCAGTTCTGACATGGGACTCCACCCCCACTTTCCCAAAAATCCTTGGCACACCCCTTTTCGCACTTCCAGGCCCACATCCTACTCCGATCAGGAAGTCGCGCTGGGCGTGAGGTTGGTCTGGTTACGGCGATGGTGGGATAGGGTATGGAGGTCCTTGACTACCCCTTGGATTCGGCCGTGGGACTGGCGGGCTCTGTTATGTGAGACCTGGTCTCCAGAACAACTGGATGACTTCTCTCATAACTTATTCATAACAGGCAGAAGAGCCATCCTCCGGGCCCTCTGGCAACGTCGCTGTACTTTTGAAATGGAGGGAGTAAGGTTGGATTGCCCAGATTTTACGAAACAATCAAGCTGCAGGTGCAGACTGTTATTAACAGCTCAATGGGACAAAGTAAAAGAAAAAAATAAATTCCTGTCGAATAAAAAAGGAATCCAACAGCACATTCAACTATTCAGTGGCGCTTGGCTAGGGGGCCCTCAAGGAGCTAGGATTGGACAGATCAAAGCGAGTGGGGTCAGGAGAGAGAACAAAGAAAACCAAGGGGACTACCGCCTGATATTCCATGATTGGACAAATGTGGCCTCGACAGTACCCCTTCGCCCTCTATAGAAGTTCCCAGATCCCTCCCCGCCCCCTCATTGTCCCTGGTCCCCACGAGTTGGTATGGCTGCGCATGAAGAGGAAAATGTCTGGATAAGATGTAACCAGCTAGATGGAAATGTCTGATCTGGCGGCGATAAAGAGGCTGATTACAGAAGTTACAGCAAAATGGGTAGGGAGGGTATTAGAGCGAATTCAGTATGAGAGCAGAATTAGATGTAAAAGGCTGAGACTCTGGAGCAATAAGCCAGAGCCAATCCTCAGTTTCTAACTTCTAACACATTCAAATGCTTCTCATAATCTTCTGGAAAAACTAGGTATAAGGGACGCTGGACAGATTTTCCAGCAGGTGCAGCTCCCCCACCAATAGATTGGAGTCAACAGGCAGTCTGCTAGGGGTAGGTTATCGTATAACTATCCCTAGCAAGGCCAACTGATGGTTTCCAAAAAAAAAAAAAAAAAAAAAAGGAGAAAGAAGAGTGTTCTCTTCCTTTCCGGGCGACAGTGGTCTCTCCAATGAACTTGGGCAGTAATGCCTTGTTCACTCGGGAGTACCCCACAATCATTTGTGAGGGACCCCAGGCCCATCTCCCGGCTTGTATAATGAAGCTCCTTTTCCCGGAAAAAAAAAAAAACAAATTCACAACCAAATTTGAGAAAGAAATAAGGAGAACGCAAATATTCTTTGCAGCAGCGAAGTTCTGTTTCCGCAGTGCCTTTTTTTTTTTTTTTTTTTTTNTAAGAATCTCCATTTGGAGAAACAAAAAAAACTACGTTGTGCTTTTTCTTTTTAGGAAGGGGAGGAGGGGGGGGGAGTTGTGCAAAATTGCAATACAAACAGTTTTTTTTTTCGTTTTTTTTTTTTGTTTTTTTTTTACCAACAGGCCCTGTGCCCAGAGATGAATTATACACTCTGCCACACTGGTTCATTCCGGAGTTCTCGAACAAGACCGACCCGAAATTCAAAACGTATGAAACCCCTATATCTGGCTGGGCGCAATGCAAAAGAAAATAAAATCAAAACCACCGAAGAAAAAGGCAACCACCCAAAGTTGTCGTCACTCCCTGCAAAACCACCCTGCCTCCCGCACGGCAAGGGTCTGTATCGCCAGGGGCCCAACTGCAGACATAAACCCACCAAACCCTCACACCTCATCGCGACTCAGGGCGGGCCCACACTCACCATGACCAAAAACATCGACTCCCACCATGATGGTGCTTTTGCAACCCAGCCGAAACATCCTACCTACCACCCGCTCGCAGCGGGCGTCAAAGACCCTACACCCCCCCCTCTTCCTCTTCCTCCTCCTCCTCCTCCTCCTCGTGATTTGGGGTAGACCACTGCCCCAATCTGCATTCGCCCCTGACGGAGCTTCACCGCCCTCCATGATAAAGGCCCGGTGAAGTTATGCTCACCAATCCGTCTCAAAAAAAAAGTCAGATGATATCAGAAGCGCCAAAAGCCGAAAAGCGACCAATGCCGAGACAACACGAACTATTCGAGCGCGCAAAAATACAAACACCGTTTGCCTCCTGAGGGTCTCGGAGAAATTTCCAACCAGGGCCGAGGTCCCACTAGCGAAAAGGATAGGATCGAGCTCCTGAATCTGGATGTGGTGTAAGCACAGATGCAGAAAAGCAGTTCAATCTCGATTTCCTGCACATCTCCATAAACTCGTCCAGATTCAGACATTCGATCCGATCCTCTTTGCTAGTGGGACCACGCCCCAGATGAGAACAGCATGACATCAATTCAGGGAAGTTTCCTACAATTTTCGCACTAGTGGCCCTTTGGAAAAAAAAAAAAAACAAAAAAAAAAACTTACAAACAAATAAAAAAGAAATGAAGAGTGAGAGAATGAGAGAATAGGAGAGTGGGAGAGTGGGAGAATGAGGGCTGGTAAACGACCCAATACGATCAGTCCAGATGTATCTGGTCTACCTTGCAATCCAGATAAATGAATTGACAGTACGTATCTGAGAGTATGGCAGAATCGAGAGGATGGCATTGACAAGCAAGATCCGTTGATGCCGATCGCCACCACCGTAGACCAGCTACGGATTTTTGTTTTTTTAAGAATTAAAATTCGACTTATTTCACATCCACTCAGGATGACGCGGGGAAACCTAGAAAAAAGAGGGGAAATTAAGGGGTGGGTTGGGGGTGGGGGGGGGAAGGGACAATGCACAGCACCAATCATCATATGGAACATTTCTTTTGCCCTGCAAATTTCTTGCGCAACCAAGATAATCCGAGAACAAGATTGGGAAAAAAAAAAAAAAAAGGAGACCACAGCATGCTCATAGCTTTCTTTTTTTTTTTTTTTTTTCCCCTTTTTAGGCCATCGTCGTTGTACTCCACGATCGGACATACACGCCATACTAGGAGAGCTGGCAACGGTTCCAACTTCCAATACATCCATAATATTCCATCAGTCCAGACGTATCTGGTCCAATTAACAGTCCATGAACATAGATATAATGTTGAGTAGAACGTATGTGGTCCAGGCAACGGTCCAGATACATGTAAAACGTCGATTTGTGGAGCGAGGCCCACCGTACAAATGCAAATACATTAAAAAAAAAGAACCTCATAAGAACACAAACGAAAGTTTTCCTCCCAACTGCTGCTGCTGCTGCTGCTGCTGCTACCCATGTCTAATATTAAGATGATTTTTTTTTGCTTTCTTTTCATTTTTAATATTCATAACAGTTTTATTATATTATAATATTTATAATATATGATGTTTATGTATATACTATATAGATTATTTCACACAGATTGCAGCTTGGCAATCGCAACTATGTACATGTACCCGTAATTATACTTGTGTTCGTCCCGACCCCTATTTAATTAATAGCAGCTCCAACTGGGTAAATCAACAACAACGGGCGCCTGTCCGTTACCTCCTCCACAAACGTCCACCAACGGTAACTCACGCTTCGTCTTCGTTTCTCTCTCTCTCTCTCTCTCTCTCTCTCTCTCTCTCTCACACACACACACACACAGACACAATCACACCATTCACACAAACAGAATCACACCATTCACACAAACACAAACACACCATTCACACAAACACAAACATAAGCACACGAGCGCGCACAGAGAAACACGACAAAGCGGACACTCAGCAGCAGCGTTCACCCCATCCATGTTGTACAGGTAGAAATCAGAAGTGCTCTCTCCTCTCTCTCTCTCTCCCTCTCTCTCTCCCTCCCTCTCGTGCTCTAGCGCATCCAGTGGCTTTTCCATCCATTGCGAGCTGAAGGACCAACGATTCCCAACCGCTGCTCGACCAGGAACAGTTTCACAGGTTCATTCGCGATTCGCTGGATTCGCTGTGTCATGCGCGTGTAGAGCATTCAACGAGAAAGAGGGAGAAGGGTGCTCAGAAGAGGTACTGGAAGTGGGGGTAGAGAAACAGCGGAGACCTGGACACAACTTGCGACCGAGATTATACACACCCTCTACCCTGAGCCCAGATTGCTGATGGGCTTGAAAAGCGGAGAGATAGTGTGATAGAGACGGAAGAAAAGGAAAGAGAGAGGCAGAGAGAGAGAGAGAGAGAGAGAGAGAGAGAGAGAGAGAGAGAGAGAGAGAGAGAGAGAGAGAGAGAGAGAGAGAGAGATGAAAGAGTGAACACGCACACGTGTCCTGTCCCTCCTCCCCGTCGTTAAAACTTCACCCACGTGCTCTCCCGCGCTTGACTTGAGCGAACTCACAGAGACCCATCCACGTGTCATCAGGCAGTCCTGTCGGTCGAGATCCCATTCAATCAACCATCGAGTCTTCCTACGAGCACGGCTCGCCACGTGTCATCATCCAAGCCGGATAACATGCAGATCAGCCACTTGTCCGTCGTCCGCCCCGCCGCTGAAGTAATCATAAAAGGATTCTGTACATCAATCAACTTTTAACTCCGAGTCTTCGCGCACAGGGCTCACCTTCCCGTGCATGGACTGTAGTTTGAGTCAGACGTGTGCAGGGCCTCTCTCTCTCTCTCTCTCTGTGTGTGTGTGTGTGTGTGTGTGTGTCTGTCTTCAGGTTTTTGAATTTTTCAACGCGATAATACTAACATAATTGCACCGGGCGGGAATTGCATGAATGAATCTGGTCGTAATTTCCAGTCAATAGACATATGCATTATCTAGAACAGATTATATGCCCTATCTAGTGACCGAATCTGGCTGAAATTCCAGTCAACAGACATCACTCTAAAAGATACTACACAGACAGATTCATCATAATTCATCATAATCAAGTCTCTTTTACTTTCCCGTGACTCAGGCGCCTCTACGTAGTCGCGACCTATACACACCTTCGCGACCTCTACACACCTTCAAGCAAACACAGCAATGACAATTCCAACAAGATGAAAGTACAGTCAGCAGTTCNAGCAAACACAGCAATGACAATTCCAACAAGATGAAAGTACAGTCAGCAGTTCATTACTCGCACAGGTACAGGACTTGCGAAGGATGCATTTGACCAAAATGTGTCCAGATACGTTCCGGAAAGTCTCACGAAGTAGTGTGAAAACACCTAACCCTATCCTACCCTCTTTACAACGTGAAACGAGATTGCGGGCATATAATCGTTACCCACACGGAACTTTCTTTTCAACTGTGCACTCCTGGCCGTAATTGCGATTATATTCATTCAACTCTGGTCGTAATTGCGGTTATATTCATTCAACTCTGGCCGTAATTGCGGTCAGATACATCCTATATACTCAAAAAGTGAGCACTTACTCTGAGACACGAGTCGAGTCGAGTCAAGTCAAGTTGAGTCGAGGCTAAGAGAAGTCGCGATCCGGAAAGATGAGCGGCGCCATCAGAGACCAGACATAAAGCAGGACAGTGACCCATTGGGATCCCATCTTGACCCAGACACTCGTCCACCCAACGTCGATGATCTCCGTCCCTTCTGTCGCCTCCCTTCCCCAACCGGTGAGCAGCATCGCGCTATACATGCTAGCGAGGGCGAAGATGATGTGGAAGAAGGAGTAGTTATAGGATACAGGATGGGGGTCGTCTCTGCGCCTTCTTCGGAAGGAAACGGAGGAGGTTCCCTCCTCCTCGTCGCCGCCAGCATCCTTTCCGTCTCCCATCGCAACCCGGTTCGGTGCCAGCATCGGTTCCGTGTCTGCGCCGCCGACCGTCGGCGAGTCCGGAGGAGAGAAGAGAGAAGTGGAGGATCCCGCCCTCACTGCTGAGTACACAACAGCAAGCATCGTCGTGGTCACTCCCATCAGCAACGTCGACCTAGACACAGCATTCAAGTGCTTTGCCAATCCATTACACTCGTAGGTTCGGGGCTCACTCGCTAACGCGTTGTAGCACAGGTACATGCAATAGAGTGTGATGATGGATGAAGGCAGGAGGCTGCCGTTGATCGATGGGTGGACGGAAAGGACAGAGATGGCGGCTGTGAGAAAGAGCGTGAAGGAGATGAAGAAGATGTTGAGCTGGCAGTCCTCGCCAGCGGGATTGAACCAATAAAACAGCAGTCCCGCCAGCACGCCCGTTAAGATGTAGCTCAGAGCCGACACACCGAACAAACCGTATAACCATCGCTCATCATCCGCCGAGACCCAGGACTCGTTCCACGTGTACATGAAATCCAGCAGCAGGACCACCTGAATGAGGAGGAACACCCCCGATCCAAAGCGCGCCAAGTGTCCATACACGTGTACCGCGCTGTTAGGGACAAGGAAGGCGATCACGATAATTGCAATCCACAGGATAAACTTCAGCATCCATCCGCCGTGCTGCCAACCGTCACGGACCTCGCGCTTGTCCTTCACCCCGCACAGCAAGATGGAGAAGAGGAGGAAGAACAGGAAATTGCCGAGAGTCACGCGCAGAACTGCTTGCGTCCCGTACCACTCCTTGCTCGGCTTCAATCCCATCGTATCTATCCAAGGGATCTTCTCCAAAACCGGCTCCGCGAAATCTCTCAGCACCCATGACGTTAACAGCGCAAAGAAGAAAATCCCGCAATAAGCTAACCGCGCAGATCGCCGGGTAATACCCCCCGCAACCCCCTTACACGCCTCGCACGCGCACACCGCGCAGCATGACGCCACGCACGAACCTAAAGCAGCAAACATCGTGAACACTCACCTCTCCTCTCTCTCTCTCTCTCTCACACACACACACACACACACACACACACTCTCACTCGCTCGCTCGCTCGCGCTCTCTGCTCCTGCGCGCCCCGCCCCCCCCCTCCTCCCCCCTCACTCGCTCGATCACTCTCGCTCTCTGCGCGCGACTTGATAATCGCTCCCAACAACGCGGAGCTACGGATAACCGCGCAGATCGCCGGATAATCGCTCTCTGTTGCTTTACACCTCTCACGATTCAGAGACTGTAGTCGTTCTACTGACTCCTCCACCTCCGCACACTGTTGCTACCCGGTAGCTACGGATCGTGCTATGGCTCCCACCCAGGGACGATGACTGATCGATACCGTGGAGGATTGCGCCAGTTGCTCCTCGCGCCCGCCCGCTTAAATGTTAAATGCACAACTTCTTTCCGATAGCACAACTGCTCTCCCATGGAGTGCCAACCACCTGCCAAGATTTTCACAGAGTCCGAAAAACTGCTTAAAGTCCCTGGCTGTTAATTAACGCTAGTATTACTAGTACTATTATTATTTCATATTTATATTTATTATCATTCTATTGAAAACAAAACGAAAACGAATTTGCTCCTCGGCTGGGAAACAATGTCTCATCCAGCCGTTGGCGGATGTGACGTAAACAGAATGGACATGAGACATGTGGGACATGGGGCCTCGCTATCTTGATGCAATCAGAACATTGGAGCTGCTCGAATGCATGTGGTCAAGGTGGTGTCCAGATTCATACAAAATGTTGTGTAGTTGAGCGAGGCCCATGGAATGAAATGAAATGAAATCCAGTTCGGCATTACCATCGTCGGGCGGGACAAAAACATATGTGAACCGACCAGGCAGAAACAGATAAATCAACAGTGAGGAGGAGGAGGAGGAGGAAGAGGAAGAGCAAAAGGAGGAGAAGGAGGAGAAGAAGAAGAAGAAGAAGAAGAAGAAGAAGAAGAAGAAGAAGACGACGGAGAAGACGACGACAACGACGGAGAAGAAGAAGAAGAAGAAGAAAAGTCCAGAGAGAACGGGTCGTTGAGTAGCTCCTCAATCACACACAAGAAGCTGAAGCCCCTCTTCCAGTTTTTTCACTCGGTGCTCTCCCAAAGCTAACTATGTGCACGCAACCCAGCTGCAGACATCCAGATCGCCTGCCATCAACCGAATCACTGTTGCCAAGGTGCAAAAAAGACAATGCACATATCCCTGCGATGCAAAAAGCTGCGCCAAGAGCCTCTGCATAGAACTTACGTGTGGCGCAAGAGGCCAATCATATATACACCCACAAAGATCGTACATTCGACCATGCCAGGAGAATTTGTAAATCAATGTCTTGGTCATACAGGAGGAGGACAGCATCAAATCTTAAACTGAGGCAACGGCACTGCACTGCGCTTACTATGAAAAAAAAACAGCACTCTCAAGTTGCGGCGAAAAATGGCGGTGGCCAAAATGGCCTCGCCCCTCGCCCCTCGCCCCTCGCCGAAACGGCAACATACTTCGGTAAGACCCTTTCTCTATCACTTTACACCTACCTACGAGCATTCGCGCGCACACACACACACACACAAGCTTCAGGAGGACGGAAAGACCATAATACGTTGTCAAGCGAGCAATACGCAAAAACGAATTTCACAAAGGAGAGGGGTCAGCATGAAGATCGAGAGGAGCCAACAGTGCTTGAGGATCTGAGTTGGACATCACACACCCAAATCTCCCACAGGGAAACACCTTGTGCAAGCCAAAAGCTAATCAGCAATAGCCAGAACCGGTAAACTCCTGTAACTGTGCACACATGGAAAGTCAATAACAATGCACAGAACTCCGTGACTCCCAACAGTTCACCGCATGTAACCCTTCCATTACACGAGGTGAATGACCTCACATCTCCTGGGTGTACGGTATCTGACTGGATCATGCCGTGGCCCAAACCGTACAAGAGAACAGCAAGCAGAGGAAACTATCCAGACAGCCTGCAGAATCATTTGACTGAATTCATAATGTATCAGATCCTCTACAGAACGATGAAAAAAAAAAGAAAAAAAAAAAAGACATATTTCTAGGTAAAAACTTCCATTCAGAAATGGGATTTTTTTTTTTTTTTTTTTTTTGCCTCTCGACAGAGCGAGGGGCCGGTAAAAATTTGCGTAAGCTGCTTCGCCTGCTCACCCCACGGTATTCTTTAGTAAAAGGCGAAAGAATAGTGGGCCAATTGAGGTGGGCAAATGGAAAATTGAAAGCCCCTCCTCACACAACAACAAGTGTCCAGTGTAAAAAGCCCACACTCTCTCCCAGTCCTTTTCCCACAGGAATCAGTAAGGGCAACCGACCTTGTCACTTTTTTACTGTTCATTGGCAAAAAAACACCAAAAACCTCGGGAAGGGTCCATAGTGCAGTGGTTCAATGAAGGAATTGCGAGGCTCAGGGAAAGGGTAAAGAATCTCTCCATCCAAATAGCCAAGGACCCGAAAGTGGTCCTGGATCGTCTGCTGCTACGATTGGAAGAGTGAGACACAAATCTTACACAGAATCCCTTGGATCTACCCACCTTTGAGGCCCTACAAAGGGACCACCTGGACGAGCACGCACACAAATGGCGGATATTGGCCAGGGTACGGAAAGATGTTTCAGAAGGACTTATGACTGAAACCTTTTTCAATAAAGCCAGGGCTAGAAAGGGCTAGAAGCAGACACAATATTGTCCCGGCACTGAAACACCCGTTCGATGACACCCAGCCAGTTGCAACAAATGCCTACCAAATTGTTGATTATGCATCCACATATTACCGCCACCTTTTCACATCCGAAGTCTCACGGCATCGGCATCAGGAGGTGTAGGAAGCCAAGGCTACCTTGCTAAATGCCCTGCCCGCACTTTTGGCAACCGCGGATAGGGAGGCACTAGAAGCTCCACTCACCCCCTCTGATCTCCTTCAAGCACTAAAGGGCATGGACAATGAAAAGACCCCAGGACTTTACTCATTCCCGAAGGAATTTTGGGTACATTTCTGGGAGGTCTTCTCAAATGACTTCGCTACATATGTCAATGCGGTCTGTCATGAGGAGACGTTTGGGGAGATGATAGGACAGGGAGTGACCACTCTGCTACACAAAAAGGGAGACCGGGATGAAATTCGTAACTACCGACCGATCACTTTGTTTCCGGTCCCTTACAAAATTGTGGCTAAGGCATGGGCGTCCAAACTCTTACCGCGGCTACCCCATCTCATCCATCCGTACCAGTCAGGCTTTATGCCTCACAGGAATATCCAAGATAATATCTTGCTTGTCAACGAGACAATAAGATATGCGAGACAAAGGAGAATGGAGGCGCCCATCTTGTTCATTGATTTTGAAAAAGCCTACGATCACGTTGACTGGGATTTCCTGGATATGTGATTAGACAAGATGCAGTTTGGACCTCTGTTTCGTAAATGGATTAACATCCTGCACAGAACTGCGGCCACCAACATCATGCTAAATGGCCACCTGGCTCCCCCGTTTTACCTTCAGAGGTCGGTTAGACAAGGGGACCCCATCGCCCCGATGTTTTTCGTTTTAGTAATGGAAGCATTGGCTGCGATGATAAGATCTAACCATCTGATTCAAAAAATCGATGTCCTTGAGATTCCGCAGCACCTGATCCCGATGAGCTCTTTGTTCGCGGATGACCTCACGGTTCTCTTTCGGGCCAACGCCAGTAGCCTTCAAGCCCTTGCACATACTATTCACCTCTTTGAGTTGGCAACTGATATGAAGGTTAACTGGGGAACAAAGACGGAAGGTTGGTGGCTACACCCAAATGGTGACGACCCGCCTGCTCAACCCCAAGTGTCATGGAAAGCCAAGGAAACTGCTATAAGGATGCTCGGGGTTTGACTGACAGCACAGGGACCCCCCCTTGATCATGGGGAGGCATTGGTAGACCTGGCCATCCAAAGAATGGGGCAATGGGATGGCAAACACACTTCGCTAGTGGGCAGAGCGCTGGCCCTTAACAATGCAATTTTTGCGGCAATTTGGTATAAAGCAGCCTTTTGGCCACTGACCCACAAACAACTCACTAAGCTGCGACAAGCAACCACGATATTTTTGTGGAAAAACGACCATAATGACACTAACTGCATTAAGCGCCTAGCGTGGGACATAATAACTCAACCAAGGTCCAATGGAGGCCTTGGAATCATTGACCCCCAACAAGAACTCGACGCTCTTCGATTCAAGTTTTGATCATATTGTTGTTGGGGAATGACATCCCATGGGCCCCATATGCACATATTCAGATTGGAGCTCTGGCCCCAAAATCCAAACCGGATAGACCAACGCACCCCCTGTAGTGGATGACAAACTCGGCATGGACTGTCCCAGCGTGCCCCCGATCGGACAAGGACAATACCCCGGCTGGGAAAGCTAGATGGGACACCCGTATTGATCCGCTGTGGCCAGACCTCATACGCCTCTGGAGGACGAACGGTTCCAAAAGGAAACCCGTTCCCCTCAGATGGCACGAGGTCAGTCGGCAACACCTGTTCGGCCACCCAAACATCTTGGTGGTGGGAAAGGGACTCCCCCCTAAATAAAGAGGATTTCCGTTTTTTTAAATGGTTTGCCTACTCCCACATAAGACCTATCAACTACAAGGCGCTCCAGTGGCAGATCATCCATTGATGTCTGCCTACCCCGGACTGGCTAACGGAGAGAACGGATTATGAGAGCAAAGGCCTGCTCTCTCCTTTGTGTTCCTATTGTGAAACGTGCGTGCCAAGAAAGAGAGCGACACTGGAACATTGCCTCCTTGATTGCCCCATGGTGGTGCGCTTATGGAGATGGTGGGATGCTGCTGTCATTTCCTTACTGGACCATCTACCCTGGAATGTCCTGTCCCTCCTCTTTGGGCGGAACCACCAGGAACTTTCGCACTGGTCCCCCTTTGCATTTAACATTCATCAATACATGAGACTTCCGCTCCTGATGGCGGCCTGGCGAATGAGGTGCTCTCATGAAAGAAATCAACACACATTTAACCTTCCAAAGGCTAAGGCTGTGCTCAATGACAAGATAATCAAACAAACTCATCAAGCTTGGAAGTCAATGAAAAACAGGCTTGCACAAGAACAAAATGCTACCAAAAGAACTCAACTGATCGACGGGTTCTCGGAGGTATGGCTAGACCCACATAACAGAATCTGCACGCTTGATGACCAACTGAACCTGGTGTGGCACCAGTGGATGATGGCTGAAGACCACTGGGAATTCAGGCCGTATA